CTTACTTCCTTTATTAGATGGTAAAGACCTTCCCATGTCTCTTAGTGGTTGAGGTTAGGGGGCTGCAGCTACACTGGCCAAGAAAGGAGCAGGTTAAGTTCACTTGGAGTGCTGGGCTGTCTCATTCTGGTTTTGACTGTATCCCAAAGAACATTGTTGCTAACATGGTCTTCAGAACACTGTGTCATTAAGCATTATAATAAAGGATTTTTGGTGATTTGGAATGTGAATCTAAATAAGGCAGGGACCAAAAGCAAGTCCCAGATCTATAAAAGTAGCCTTGGCAAGGACTAGAACCCTATTCGTTAACCCCCTTAATCACAGCACCTGCTACCAGGAAAAAGGATAAATGGTGTGTAGATAACTAATGGTGGATAACACCATCATTAATACGATGCAGAGATGGCCTGATATATATAAGAGGCTTCCATTAGAATTTCCCTTGAAAATGGGGGCAGTAACTAGGACAGTAACATTAAGAAGGTGGGACAAGTCAGATTGTAAGAGCTCTTGGGTCCAAACAGTACCATAACTAAACAGCTAATGCCACCTGGAGGCCAGTGCGCAAACTGCGAAGGTAGTATCATACACCTGGGGTCAACTTTTATTTGTATCTCCCCTTTTCCCTAGACATTAATGTTTAGCTCCCAAGTCTATCACCCTCCAGTCATAGAGTTAAAGCCTAGAGGGCAGAACTACTCACTTCTACCAGATGGTTGTCTGGCCCATACAGGTCTTTGTCCAGTTCAATCACCAAAGACTTAAAAAAAGAAGAGAACTTCCTCTTTTGTTTGGTGGCATCATATTTGGACAAGGCTGACTAGAGGAGAGAGAGGAGAGATCATGTTAGAAAAGGCTAGAAGAAATTCCCCAAGACAGAGTCCCATAAAAAAAGGAACCCACAAAAACAATGGGGAAAAAACTCAAAAATGTTCTGAATGTCTCTTAGGACATGGCAAGGTACGTGTCTGTGGATATTAAACAAGACATAGAAGCAACAATCCTGAAGAAGCAGCCTGTAACTCGTACAGGGTCATTGACTCACCTACCTCTTTTTCCCAAAGGGAAATGAGACAAGTTAAGCCAAACCATTGCACATAATAAAGCGAGTCTGAATGGAGAAAAGTCTGACTCTAGAGGGGAAATGAATCACAGGCAGTAAGCAGCCAGAACAAAAACAGCTTTATTTGGATAAAATGACACCACTGGCAGATCGACTGGACCTATACAAAGAAGGAGGCTCTGACACTGAGCCCTGGTTCTCCTCAGAAATGCATTCATACTGGATTGCCTGTGAACAGCTGAAAATAAAAAGCCAGAGAGTCTAAGGGAATGGCAGGTAAACTTCCCCAAGGAGCTTCTGGGGTGGGAAGTTTGGGGGCTATCCCGTCAGCTGATGTTCCCCATGAAGCAACAAAGAGCCTGCCAGAGAAACCTATCCCACTCAAACTGTGAGATGTCTCCAACAGAAGCTGGGAAGATGGAGATGCCACAGCGGAAACCAAAGGACTCAGAGAGGAAAGGCCTCAAATGCTAAATGCAAACTCACTTGGTTAAAAAAAGCCCCGAACTGAATAACCTGCAGATACTGCTAAATCCAATGGCTAGCAGCATCAGGAGGGAGGTAAACAACAAATCAAATCCCAGGACAATAAGGTTCTCGATATGATACCACAGTGAGGGCCAAGCTGTGGGAGCCAAACACAAAGAACCATTGTCATTCAGTGTAGGGAACACAGTGACCCTCTCCCTGCTGTTCCCAACAGGAGCGGTAAGCACAGCCAACCAGACAATACTGCTTGTTCCCAGCAGCTCCCACCCTAGACGCCCACCACAGTGGACCCTGAACTCACATCCTCCAGGAGCCGTCCTTCTACCCGAAGCTCCCAGGAAGCCACCGTCCCTTCCCCATCCTCGGCATCTGACTTGGCCGGATTGAAAGTGTTAGAAATGAAAATTCGCAGCTTCCGTTTTTGCTGAGGAAGGCAGAAACAGGATGGATAGTGAGGCTTCAGTGGTTTGCTGTTGAAGACAAGGGTCTCCCCAAACCCGAAAATGACTCGTAACAGACTGGTTTACTGTGTACCAAGTCCCTGGGGTGGGTGGATGGAGATTCCATCTCGAAGAGGAGTACAGGCCCTCAACCTGAGTACAAGCACATACATTGGGATGCCAGGTGGACAAAGTCATGCAAAGTGCCAAGTTCCCAAGGTGGCAGAGCAGTTTCAGCAAAAATACCAACAGGGTATTATTTCTGGTGCAAGAAATAGCAAAAGCCCCTCCCCCTTTGCTGTTCTGTTCTTATGCTTCTAATGTAATTCTCAGTTTGTAGGCGGAAGGGAGAGATATAATTTAAATGCCAAGGAGAGCTGTGCTACGCCTTTGATTTCTCATCCTAAGCCTGCTGAAGGTTCCCGAGTCGTCTCCTTTGGCTCTCTGCCTAGCAACTCTCCTGCATTACCTTGATGGGACGTTTCAAGGCCTCCTGGATATCTAGCCGTTTCCTCATGATAGTCTGGTCCAGTTTCCTTTCAAAAGCCAAGAGATCCATATAGGCCTGGGATTCTGGTACCAGTTCACGAATCTTAGGAACAGAAAGATACCATTGGGTTCTAGAGCTAACCGTCCCTATTCTCAAACTCATCACACCTCAAGAACACCTACAGCCTGGACTCACCCTTTGAGGTAGAATTTTGTCAGCCATCTTCTTTTTCTTTGCACTGTTTGGAACAAATACTGTTATCAGGTTGGGATGGAACTAGCCAGAACATGAAGACAGGCTGTCAGCACCTCCACTTATGGTAAATACGTGAAGGAACTGCAAATCTTCTGTCAAGTTAAAGACATCCCCCCACCCCCACCTCCACCAAACACGAAGCATTCTCAAGAATGAGACTGTCTGCTGACACAGCACCACCACTTCTCGGTTCAGGTATTCCCACCACCTGTGTTCTCACAGGCTTCTCCCTCCCTTCCTCCCTCCACCCTGAGGTCATCTTACTTGTGGTTCCGATTTTGGACCGCCTGCTGCTGGACCTGCTGGATCTGCTGAGGTGCAGGTCTCTTGCGGGACTGGTCCATCCCTGACTGGGCTAGGCCAGGTCGGACTGAAGGGTTCCCCCCATAGCCAGGGGGTCCCATGGAAGGTCCCTGAGGTGTCATTCGGCTGCCTGGTAGCATACCTGGTCTCTACAGAGAGGAGAGGACCCTGAGATGTCATGACTTTCCCTACGTACCCCGCCTCAAAAGGGGAAGTGGGAGATGCCTGAGTTTTCTGAAAGAAACAAGGCTGGGGCGTGGGTTGGAGCACAATAGTGAGGTGGGAGAAGAGCCCTCTGCCCTCTGCCTCTTTGAAATATAGTTAACTGGAGCTTCCTCTGCTCCAGTCGTGCCCCCACAGAAGAATACAGCCTAAGAGCTAAGAAACAGCCAGATTGCACTTAAATTCTCTCCAGCCTATTTTGGATGACACATTGGACATCTCCTCTAGTCCCATATTTACTGAGATAGTACTGCCAGCTACTATCTCCTTAGAAGCTGACCTCAATTTGCCAGCTACACTTTCTGTGTTCCTCTGGGCAATGAAGCCTAAGCCCTTTTGCACTCAAGCCCTCACAGACCCATCCGTGGCCCCACTTCGTCCACGCTAATTCTACATCCTGACTTTCCAAGGAAACAATATTCCTAAGAGCAGGTGGGGATGCTAACTGCCTCCCCACCCCAACTCAGGGCCCGAATCCCTCAAGGGGAGTCCCTCCTACTCCTCCCCCCACCCTTGTCACTCCTAGGCCCCCGCTCAGCCCCGCCCCCGGCCCGCGCGCCCCTCCTCCTGCCCCACTCACCGGATAGGCCGCTCCGGGCATCGGGGAGCGGTATAGCCCTT